ACACCAAATGGTTTTTTTTTATTATTATTATATGGCTTACAAACCCATCATTGCTATAGACGCATAATAATAATAGATACTGATTGAACATGTACAATAACAAATAGTCGATGTATTATATTATAATAAATGGTTTGTTTGTGCTCGTGGCAACGACTTAAAACGATTAACTATAATTCTGTATTGAAATTTCTATAACCATTCAATTTAAAAAAAAAATCATAACTATCGGTTCAGTAGTTTCCGAGAACACATCACTCAAAGGTTTTCATTTTCACATTTATATATATAATATATAGATATACTTAAAAATAAACAAGTATAAATAAAAATATAGTACCTATTTTTAATTAACAATGTATATTTTTTTATTGTTTAATTAGACAAAGTGGTAGATAGGTAATATTAAAACTACCTATTAACTATTTTCTAGAACGCGAACCTCTTTAAGAGGGCTCTACACCCGCATGTGTTCTCTCTGTCTTATAAACGCATAACATAGCAAATCTTACGCGGAGCAGATCGCGTTTAGCTCTTAACTAACGTTAGTTTCGATTTTCGTTTAATAATCTTAGTTGGTTTAAAGCAAGAAGTTATGAGTATTTTAAAATTGTAAATTGTTTGTACATATTTAAATACTCGTAATTTGCTTCAAAATTAAAATCTAAAAAAAAATTATGATGTTCACTAGATAATAATCTTACATTTAAATGTTATAAAATATTTTCAATCCACTCTAATTTTCAAACTAACAGCTAAGCGTGAGCGGCTGAGCGTACAGTTTTCTGTTATGTGTTTGTAAGACAGAGGGAACGCATGCGGGTGTAATACCCTCTTAATAATAGGTATAATATGGAGTGATAAGAAATTCATGTAACAAACATTTAGGATCGTTTGTGATTATTATGAAATCCCGAATTCATTTTCATCTAAAATTTGTTAACTAAAACACATATTATGCAGATAATAACTATATTCTTGATTTTAACACTTAAAAAATAAAAAATTGATTTTATAGGTAGGTACTTAGAAGTTAGAATGTGTATGTTTTTTTTTGTAAATACTTATACTTAATATTTTATACATATAATTTACAAAGAATAAGAATTATAAAAAAATCTAACATTAGAAGACGTCACATAATATTATGTTGTCTCCGTTGTACAAATGTACAACATGTCGAAAAATGTTTTGCGTGTAACTATTTTACTTTCTCTGTATTTATAATAGAATTACCAAATTTTCATAACGTAGAACTTCATCTGTGTCGTAGTTTTTTTTTCTTGGATAACATTTAAATTTTATCAGTTTGGTAACATTAGGTTTTTTTTCATTTAATTATTAAAAAGGTGGGTAAGTGGATGTCGCTCTGCTGTACAGTAGGTTACAAGTGGGTCACTGTATAATGGATGCTTTTAAATTTGAATTCAATGATACAATATCATTGTATAAGAAAAACGATTCTGAGCGAAGACGGTATGTCAGTCTAGGTTTAAGACAAATTATATACATATCTATGGTATTAAAAAAAAAATTGACTTATAATAAATTCCAAATTAATCATATCACATTATCACAATATCCATTAGGTACTTATAACATGTTATACATCAACATCAATAACAAACCCTGATACTATCATAGATATATAATAGTACACTTTAGAAGTTTCAAGTAGGTAACCCGTACCCACGAATAATATTATATAATCACAACAAAATAACTAGGTTTTTTAATATGAAATTTCGTCCAAATTTGAACATAAAATGACTATAAAAATAAACTGTGATTGTATATTTTTTAGATTTTTCGGTAAGAGAATTAACTACTTACGTAGAATCTTGTTTTAAATTTTCAATCCTTAGCTATAAAAACTGAACATTTTATAATTTATTAATTACGATGATTAATAATTTTCGAGATTTTGAAAAATTCTGTCAAAATTCGATGTTAAAACGCTTATAAAAAAAAATTGTGCCTATGTATTTTTAATATTTTTCAACTGATATTGTAACAATATATCAGGAGCCTTGTATTAATTTTTACACTTTTTGGCCCAACAGATAAAACTTTATTGATATTTATAGAAAAAAAAACTAAAAAAAATTGAAAGCTGTAAATGTCCATAAACGGCTCAAAAAGAGTCAAAATATTTTCAAAATTGTATGGTGTATAGGAAATGCTAATATAAACAACCAGTGAAAATTTCATGTATCTACGGTCATTTGTTTTAAAGTTACACCAAAAACCAGAATCGATTTTTTGGAAAACCGATTTTGCGTAAAAATTCCCGTTTTTCCTTAATTTTTATGTTGTTTTTCCCGGCGCTCTTGAAAACTACTGGGAAATTTAAATTTTGTCCTCCCCAATGCACCAACGATATTCACTTTCCAATCGAACAAGATACTGAAGTCGAAAATCGAAGCATTATTTCGACTACTTATCGTGTACACAGACACAAAAAAAATAAGTATAAAAACACACATCATTGTAAAATCAATACATTCATCGTTTCACCCAGAATCTAAAATTATTAGTCAGTGCTATTAAAAAAATTAAAACACTACTACCAATAGATAAAGTTTTTCCCTACAGTATGCGTTGTGGACTTTTGGTAATTATACTATAAATACAGAGGGGGTAAAATTGTGCTGCTCACAACAGTTTTTCTATGTTGTACATTTGTAAGAAGGAGACAACACAAGCGGGTGTGACATCCTCTCTAAGATTTGTATTTGAGTCTAGCTATTTTGCCATTTTGTAAAAAAAAATAAATGAAATAGGTACACATTTTACAAGGGCATCTATTAGGTGTAGGTATATTGATTTAATTTTTTTAAAGAAGCCCATTCAATGTCTACGATAATTATGAAAATTATTATGAACGAGGTTATGTTAGTATTGATATATTTTATATTTATATATAAAAAAATATTTTATTCATCCTTAGGTAGTTAGGTTAACCGTTTGTATTAGATTTTACACAATACGTTATATTACGTGTCTTTGTGTTTTTGTGTCAATAACATTGGTTAGTATAGATTCTTCAATAAGTAATATTTTTCTAAATATTTTTGCTGTGGCCTACTTATAGTCACACTTAAACAATAGACCAACGTCCAACAGATCAATGTAATACCAATACAATTTTTATTCAAAGATATTAAACATACATATTATTTTTACTGAAATGTTTTCTGGATAATAACTTCTCATATATCTTTATCACTTTATATTAGATACAAGAAATATCTAATATAATAAAACTTTATAATGTAAGAGTATAAAAGAAAGAAAATTCATTAGGTACATATTTTGTAGTTGTATTAATTTAAATTTCTTTTCATAGGTACATAAGTAAATTCAAATTTAAATTAATGGTTCAATTTATTTGAATAATTACAATCATTTTCTTTTATAATCTTTCGTAGATAATGTAGGTATAGGTACTTCATATTGATATTCATCTACATAATCATACAATCTATTTATAAATTTAAAATTATATACAAATACGTTTATATTTATATTTATCATAATTTCAGTGATAACTAATAGTTACTGTCATAAAGGCATGTTTTTAAAATTTGTTTAGTATTTTATTTCCTATTCTAAAAATAATTGAAAAAAAAACCTTTTGTTTTTTGCAAGGTGTTTGGTCGACTGTTTGATATCAGCAGTTTTTTCCCTTCCTCTTGTCTCTTAGTCTACCACAGAAACGTCGGAATATCGATTGCGCCCTTCACCCGGTGGGTTTCGTTCTCTTTCTCCCTCCGTTTTGCCTTGGAACTGAGCCCCGGTGACCCATTTCCGACTAGCAGGACCACCCTTTTTGCAACAGACGTGTCCTATTTCCTCGAATAAACTACAAACGAATTTTTAAATACTATAAAAAAATAATTAATTAAGTGTATTTATTTTATTCAACTGGATATTTTAAGTAAGATGTACTCTCAAGGTTATTTTTAAGAAATTACTATTCCTATTTTAGAAGACAATGTATTTATTATCATAGAGTAAAGCTATAAATACTAATTACTATATGTACGGAAAATTATGTTTTGATATTTGTCAAAGTGGAGACAAATATTTTTGACGGGATGGTCATAAAGGCCCAAACCACGAAGGGCAGGGATGTGTCAACACGTAGCTTAACATTTAAAAAAATATAGGAATGACCAAAGAATTAAAATATTAAATAAATACATAATTATGAATTATGGTATATCTACTAAATAACTTGCGCTTAGCAAAAAATTGATAATTTGATTAAAATTTAAAATAGTAAATATTTTAGATACTTGAGTACGTATTTATTACCCATTAGTTGATATTTTATATTCTTGTTTATACTATAATTTAATAGTATCAATGAAACAAAATACCTATATATCAATATATGGTTATTCCGCTCAAAAGTATGTCTTGCAATCTTCAATTTAATTCCGTTTTATGTACCAGTGTACTGTATAATATTATTATATTTTCGTCTAAAAATATAATAATCTATTTTATTTATTTAATTATTCAATTTTATGATAATATTATTAAATATGGTATTCTTAAACCAAGGCACGTACATAATATATTAATACTTATGTGATGTCCGTACATATTGTCGTCCTTGTTTATAAACAAAGGCATACATTGAATAGGAGTAGGATGTGAATTTTACTTCCCAGTCTTCAATTGTTTATTTAATTTTTTTCTGACAGTCTGCTAGAATCATCAATTCTGATTTTGCGTCTTACCTATATTGACTCAGTTAACATCGAGGTTGACATTTTTAAACTAAAAAATGGTTTTCAGTTATACGCCAAAGAGCGATAAATTGTCTGTAGATCATGATTTAGTTGTTCTAGTGTCAATAGTAAATGGTCTTAACCCTGAAGATTTGTTAAAGACTAAGGTTATATCAAAAATAACTACACTAAATTAATTAAGAACTTATTGGTAATCGATATATACAGGTAGTTTGAATATTTATATATATGTTACAGATAAACCTCAGATTGATTCTTGTCAGCGGTAAAACTAAAGAATTCATATTTAGCCCTAACGACTCGGCGGGCGATATAGCTCAAGCAATTTTTGATAATTGGCCAGAAGGTAAGATTTTTTTTTATAAATATGTAGTATTACATTTAGAATCTACTGTAAAAGTCTATAAGCAAAAGTAAAATATTGTAAATTAACTGTTTACGAATTAAAACTAATTTTAAAAATTAACAACCTAGGTTAGGTTTAATGTTACAACATTAAAGTTTTTATTACATCAATATAGTTTGTTGTTAGCGAAGATTGTCTTGATGCAATTTTAAACCTACCATAGAGGCATATTAGTAATTACTAATTACATTTTATACTAACCCAAAACAAAGTTGAAGATTTTTTAAAACGTTTGCTTTTAGCTTATAAATTATCAATAGCATGTATAACCTCGGGTATAACAAATCACATGTTTTTGAATTTTTCTTCATTAATTTAATAAACAAATTGTTTCTACCCTTCTTATTTACTTGAACACAAATTATCGCAATATTATGTTCATTTTCGTTTTATTTTTTTGTTCAAGTGATATTCATTTAACATAAATTCTTACTTAAATAATGCAAAAATTACGAGTTATACCTATTATTTCAGATTATTTGAGCTCAAAAATAAAGTATAAATCAAAAAGCTCCTACTAATTATTCTTGTAATTAAAATTTAAGAAATTACAATTTACAAATTATAGAATGTAGCTTACTTAACTAAGTTTGTGGGAACTTGTATTAACTTTGGAAAGGTTATAACTTTTAAAAGTTTTGAGTAATATTTTAATTTATAGTAATAATGGTGTGTAGGTACCTTTTTCTTGAAACAAATAAAAAGAATACATTGTTGTTGCTTGTGAGTTAATGACGTAAGAGAAAACGATTATTTACTACAAACAACACTCTGTATTACGCCATAAAAATACATTTTCATTATTATTACAAACACCTACCAATAAATGTTCTATATTTACATAATAATCACGAGCCAATTATATTTTTTAAGTGTATTTGAATTTAATATTTAATACTTATATATTTTCAACATTTTACATGTAAGGAGGAGTTATAAATTATAATTTTAAGTTTTATGTTTAATATTTAATTTTTGTACCTATTTTAATAAGATTGATTTATATTTTGGCGTTATTAGTTTGTCGCTGATTGTTCTTGTGTATAAAATCAAACAATTATATTAGTCTGAAGCTTGTGCTTGTTTCTGTACAAAATCACAAGTGTTACGTGTAACTGGGTGGGGTAATAAATAGGATTTTATTGTACTATGCAACTAGTTAACTTGTAAAAACAGATAATTTTATTGTAAACACTTGTAGAATATTTAATATTTAATACTATGTGATTATTATGAAGTTTTCATTAGTGTTGACTGTTGAATCATCAAGACTCGTTTGATCTGAGGATATTACAAAAGTCCAGAGGATAAAATGTTTTGTTAAGTTCAAATTGCATTAAATAACATTATTCAACTAAGAAAATAAATTTTACATCTTATAAAATAGAATCTTATATTATTGAAATCGAAAAAAAATATATTCTATTTTATTTTAATATTCAATATAGGTATTTTGCATTTTACTATACATACAATTACATTTCCATAATTAGGTATTGTATTGTATCTTAAGGGGCCTGGTCGCGATTTTTCAAATTTTCCGCAATTCTATAAAATTTGAAAATTAAATTTTATATTTTAGTTTCCAGTTGCCACCTCAATTATAAGACTTTTCCACTAATCTACTACCCAATACCTATTTAGGGGGGGTTGATAGGGTGTATTATATCGGTCAAAACACAGTTTACAGGAAAAACTCTCACACCTCGTAGATTGGTGCGTTCCGTAATTTTTTTTTTGTTAGATAGAAGAATATTTTTTACAGGGCGCATTGGACTTTGATTTTTGATTACGTTGCTAAAAATAAATAATAATACAAAAACTAAAAAGTTGTAAAAATGGATTAAATTCAAACTTGTAACATAAGATTTAGAAAAATAATTTTGAAAATCCAAGTCCTATGAGCCCTGCAATACGTCTTTCTCTATTTAACAAATAAAAAAATTACGGAAATCGGAGCAATCTACAAGGCGTGAGAGTTTTTCCTGTAAGGCATGTTTTTGAGCAAAAAAACAGGTCGCGACCAGGCCCCTTAACTATTTAACATTTTAATAGAACCTATTTAACAATAATATATATAATTTTTATTTACATCGATATTGGATTCAAAAGTCTGATTATTTTGCATTCCAATTTCCGTTATAAAATACTCCGTTCTATTTATTTATCTTTAGTTTTATCAGCCAAGTTATCCTCGGAATATCATATAGTCTTCTTCATTCGTTAACATACAAGACATTACACATATTTATATTATAAATTAAAAATGTTAATAGAAAATGTAGTACCTATATCTTTAGTTAAAAATAATACTGATAACTTTTTAGTAGACAAATTTAAATATTGCAATTTTTGTGAAATTATATCTCGTCATTTGTCGTTGGAGTGAAAGCTTCCTCTTTCAAATTTATCTTTCTGATTGCCGCATTATAGTATAGACCATGTAAATGGGCCGGTCGACTGGTGACTGAGTTTTGTAAGACTTTCTCTCACTTAGTTTTGCATTTACAAGGTGTATCATATATATAAAAAATAGTGTTCCAATCCAAAACGTATCATTAAATTAAAAACTACCTATACACATACAAATTGAACGCATACATATAGTTGGTTCACGCGCTCATTTTAAATTTTTTTTTTTCAAAAAAGTGTCTTAAGGCACTGATTTGGATTTTTGAAAAAATTGTCACTATTTTTACTTTAGAAGTTATTTTAAAACTAGGAAACTAGATATTTAAAAAAATCGTGATACCTATTAAACATTTCAAATTTTTTTAAACTGAATATAACAGTTGAAACATCAGATTTTGATCTTTGTAATTAATTTTCAAGCTATAAGATATAACTTAGGTATATACACTATACACAACAAAATGGCTTTCTTTCAAGTTAAAAAAAATAGGTCAAATGGGTCCTGCTCTGTTGTAAAGTAAGATTCGAGTGGGTCACCGTAAATTGAAATATAATATATTGTTATATGAATTCAATGATATAAAATCATTGTAAAAAAAAAAAACGATTCTGAGCAAAGACGGTCTGTCAGCCCTTATTATTAGGAATATTTTATGATATTATTGCTGTTCAAGTAGGTAATTTATTTTACTATTAGTTATAGGTACAGTAGGTTGAATTTATTTTTGCCAACAAATTTGCATTTAAAAACATCGCTGTGTGTTTAAATTATATTAATATGCTTAAATGTTTCAGTTCCCACAAATATTATTTAGTTCTTTATTTTTTGATTTACAACAAACTAACTAAAATATTTATTCTTTGTTTAAATATCTAATTTCAACAAAATTGTAACTTAATATCTCTTTAAAAAACTATGCTTAAATATTTTTTCTTTTTTTTCTTTGATAGCATCAACTTATATTAAACCTTGTCTTAAATTTTCAATCCTTAGTTATAAAAATTGAATATTTAATAAATATTTGTGATTTTGATGAATTTCGTCAAAATTTAAACTTTAAATGCTTATTCATCAATATTTATCAATTTACTTTCTCCGCTCAAAATTTAAAATTTACTACAGATTTTCTAGCAGTCCTTCCCCTCTCAAATATTTAAATTTTTTTTAATTTGACATACTTAATCCTAAAAACCTAATCTAGCTGAGAAAAATGTAAATATATATGATATTTTAGTATGACTATTTAGTATTTTAACATAAATATTTGATTGGGCACAGCCAAGTGCCAACCATTAGTGATAGTGGTATGCTACCGTTACATATATATTATTACCGTTAAAGTATGAAATCCGTTACTTTATATTGGAACGTATAGGTACTGCTTTAGTTTTTTTTAACTATTTACATTTAAATTAAATGAATACTATAGGTATCTATAAATTGTTTAGAATAACTAGTTCTATACAATCTCCGATTGAAGATAGTTAAAGTGTAGATGGAAAATGTTGATATTAAAAAAGCCGTCAAGTAAGTAACCACTTTGCCGTACAGACAAAAAAAAAATTGAAAAAATGGTAATTACTCAAAATAAATTTTTGAAAAAATCAATTAATTTTTTTGGCGGAACTCAAAAACTAATAATCGTAGGCACTTGAAATTTTCACCAAATATTTAAACCATCATTTTCCCTGTATGGTAACAGTTTTTAAAACTTCATTTTAGATTCTGAGCGGAGCGATGAATGTATTGGTTTTACAATGATGTATGTTTTTTTTTATATTTTTATTTATATTTTTGTGTCTGTCATCACGTTTTAGGACAGTAAAAATGCTTGGATTTTCTTCATCAGTAGCTTTTCTGGTAGGAAAGTGAATCTAGTTGGTACTTTGGGGGGTCAAAAGTATAAATTTCCCAGTAGTTTTCACAAGCGCCGGGAAAAACAACATAAAAATTAAGGAAAAACGGGAATTTTTACGCAAAATTGGTTTTCCAAAAAATCGATTTTGGTTATTGGTGTAACTCTAAAACAAATGAACGTATATACATGAAATTTTCACTGGTTGTTTATATTTGCGTTTTCTATACACGATAACATTTTCAAAATATTTTGATTTATTTTGAACTGTTTAGGGACATTTTAATTTTCCATTTTTTTTTAGTTTTTTTTCTAAAAATATCAATAAAATTTTATTTATTGGTTGCGAAAGCTTGAAAATTTAATAGAAGGCTCCTAATATGTTGTTTCAAAGGCAGATGAAAAATATTAAAAATCCTTAGTCACAATTTTTTTTTATAAGCATTTAAAGTTCAAAAATTGACAAAATATGGAAAAATCACGAAAATTAGCAAATTATTTTGAGTTAAGAATTCGTAAAAATTTTTCTTTTTAAATCTAAGATTTGAAAATGAAACACAAGATTCCTTATAAGATTACCTACCTTTATCAATAAAAAAATCTCTACCGGACAGTCAAATTAAATTTTTATGAGCGTTTGAAATTCAAATTTATACAACATTGGATTTTCACTCGATTACTCATGTAGCGATTTCCTTATTTTGTTGCAATTCTAAAACGAACAACTGTAGATACATGAAAATTTCACTGAATGTTTAAATTAGCATTTTCTATACACCATACAATTTTGAAAATATTTTGACTCTTTTTGAGATGTTTATGGACATTTACAGCTTTCAATTTTTTTTAGTTTTTTTTTCTATAAATATCAATAAAGTTTTATCTGTTGGGCCAAAAAGTGTAAAAATTTAATACAAGGCTCCTGATATATTGTTACAAGCAGTTGAAAAATATTAAAAATACATAGGCACAGTTTTTTTTTATAAGCATTTAAAGATCAAATTTTGACAAAATTTATCAAAATCTCGAAAATTATCAATCATTGTAATTAATAAATTATAAAATGTTCAGTTTTTATAGCTAAGGATTGCAAATTCAACACAAAGGTTCTCGTAAATAGTTCATACTGTAACCAATAAATCTAAAAAATATATGAACACACTTATTTTTTACAGACATTTTAAATTCAAATTTGGACGAAATTACATATTAAAATCCTAGAATAACTATTTTAGTTATTTTGTTGTGATTGAATAATATTATTCGTGGGTACTTGAAACTTCTAAAGTGTACTATTATATATCTATGATAGTATCACGGTTTTTGTTGATGTATAACGTTTTATAAGTATCTAATGGATATTGTGATATGATTAATTTGGAATTAATTATAGGTACCTATTATAGGTCAATTTTATGTTTAATACCATAGATATGTATATATAATATGTCTTATACATAGACTGAAATACCGTCACCGCTCAGAATCGTTTTTCTTATACAATGATATTATATCATTGAATTCAAATTTAATACCATCCATTATACAGTGACCCACTTGTAACCTACTGTACAGCAGAGCGACACCCACTTGCCCACCTTTTTTTAAATTAAACTGTCTAAAAACTTTCATTTAGTAATAACGCTCGGACATTTAACGTAGGGCAAAATATTTTAATAGCTGATCAAAAATATTAAATATATATGTAATGATATAACTTCTTTACGATGTTTTAAAAATCAAATTAATTTGTTAACCGACTATATTTTAAACTTGGATTACCTACTATTAATAATTATAAGGCTGGCTGACTTTGGTGACTTTTTGAATTGTGCTTGTACAGTGTAGGTACACCATAAATACATCGGTTCCGCAGTACCTATATTTAATGGTTCACAAAAAAACTTGATCGATCATTTCCATTTTAAAATAAATATGTAAATAAAACGTGATACGTAATACCATTGAGTATAGATAGTAGATACTATCTATACTATTTATACTCCAATGGTAATACGTAAAAGTGTAGTAATAAAATATAACAGTATAAGACAGATATTGTGTAGTGACAAGTGTTGAAACACTATCTGGCTTGCATTCTGGCTGTATGTGTATGGTTTTATTATTATTATTTATTGTTAAAATATTATGATTAATGTATTATAATAATTAATAATCAATTTAATCGTTATCGTACCTGTTATTGATAACTAAAACGACACAAACTAGTTCATACTCCTCAAAAATCTAATTTTATCTGAACTGATACTTCCAATGTATAAAATGCAACAAAATGTAACCATTTGAAACTTTTCATATACTTGATAATACTGCTAATATATTAAAATTTATATCCCCTTAATAAACCAATGTTTTATTATTATTATTTTGATATTAAAAAACAGCAGGTAAGTAATCTCTCTGCTGCCCAACAGAATAGGTGAGTATAGAATGATATTACTCTATTGTGTCGATCATAGAATAATATAACTCTGTGGTGTCGAGTTTAACTCGTCATTGAGTAAGTCACTGTAATGTTTGTTTTAAAATTGAATTCAATGATAAAAGCATTTTCAAAATAGTTTGACTTATTTTGAGCTGTTTACGGACATTTTAGATTCTGAGTGTGTCATTTATTTGTGTGTCTGTGTACACGATTAGTAGTCGAAATAATGCTTCGATTATCAACTTCAGTATCTTGTTCGATGGGAAAGTGAATCTAGTTGGTACTTTTGGGAGGTCAAAATATAAAATTACCAATAGTTTTCAAAAGCGCCCCGAAAAACAAAATACAAATTAAGGAAAAACGGGAATTTTTATGCAAAATCGGTTTTTGACAAAATCGAGTTTGGCTTTTGGTGTAACTCTAAAACGAATGATCGTAAATACATGAAATTTTCACTGAATGTTTATATTAGAATTTTCAAAATATTTTGACTTGTTTTGAGCTGTTTACGGATATACTCATTACTCAGTTTCCAACTTTTTTATGTTTTTTTTCTATGAATGTCAATAAAACTTTATTTGTTGGGTAAAAAAGCTTGAACATTTAATACAAAGCCCCTATTATGTTGTTACAATGACGTTTGAAAAATATTAAAAATCCTTAATCACAGTTTCTTTTTATAAGCATTTAAAGTTTAAATTTTGACAAAAATTTTCAAATTTAAATCTAAATAATTATTTTGTAGTTAAAAATTTATAAAATGTTTATTCACTGAATTTATATTTTAATTTTCTATACACTTTCAAATTTTGAAAATATTTTGACTCTTTGAGCTGTTTACGGGCATTGTCAGTTTTCAATTTTTTTCTACAATTGTCAATAAAATATTATTTGTTGGGTAAAAAAGCGTGAAAATTTAATACAAGGCACCTGATATAGTATTACAATAGCAGTACAAAAATATTAAAAATACATAATCACAATTTTTTTATAAGCATTTTAAGTTTCGAATTTTGACAAAATTTAAAATTTAAAAAGGCTTTTGTTGTTAAAAATTTATAAATTGTTCAACTTTTATAGCTAAGGATTGAAAATTTAAAACAAGGTTCCACATAAACAAGTTATATATAAGTTACTTTATTCAAAATAATATTATCAAACACACTTGGTAATATCATAGGCTGACTGACCGTCTTCGCTCAAATTCGTTTTTCTTATAGAATAATATTATATACTTGTAACTGTATGAGCGACACCCACTTGCCCACCTTTTTTTTTATAGACATCTAAAAAAAAATTCCAAAATATCAAATGTCTATGTTTATGGCTCAAAAAGAATCAAAATATTTTTGAAATTATACCATGTACCTATATAAAATACTAATATCGATTATATTAAATAAAAATGTCTACGGTTATTTGTTTTTTAAATTATTAGAAATTAAGAAAATCTTTTTATAAAAAATCGTTATTTTACCCGTGAATATCCAATTTCAACAACTTTATTTTTTATTTCCAGTAATAACAAACTTGTATTACATTTTCAAATCTTAATATCGATTCTTGTATGTCATACACGTATATTGTATACTCTTCTATTCTAATAAATTAGTGGTAGTGGAAGTTGGAACTCTTCAACTCTCGTAATAGCCACATTTAAGATACCATTGTTTTGGCACTGAATTCTGCGACTGTCGTAGGTAAATGTCCTAAATACTATCTGTCCGGGAATTAGCTTGCTGATATACTGTGGCTGTACAGTAGTCATTTAGAAATACATTTGTTGGAATTATTATTATTACTTTTACGAATTTTGAAATTGTTTGTGGAAGAAGAAATGAAGAATGTTAATCGTAGCGAAGATTAATTGTTTTGATGATAGCACTTATACTTCTATTTTTCATTGTATTTATCGTGTTTAATTATTGTTGTTCATGATAATTTATAATTTAGTCAGTGTGTATTTAGGTACTATTTTTATACTGATTTTATTATCTAAAATAATATTAAATTACTGTAGCGGTGTCACATTTATTACTTATATACTTGTCGACGGCATTCATTTTACCTTTGATTAGAAATATTATACTATATACTATTATCTATTAGGTACTCTATTATATAATATTATATCAATATATTAACATATTTCATAATGTTTTGTAATGATTACAGATTGGGCGGACGAAGCAGTCGAAAAAGCCGAGATCCTCAGACTGATATATCAGGGTCGTTTTTTACACAGCAACGTCACATTGGGTGCTCTAGGACTTGTGCCAGCTCGTACCACTGTTATGCATCTTGTACCAAGGGAAACACTTCCTGAACCTAATTCACAAGGTGAGACATATGATGAACTAATGATTTTCGGTCACTGGTTGGGGTTTCTTAATGATACACCACCTACTCTTCTGATCAATAGTCGACATCTGAGAATACTGATAGGCAACCTCAAAATCCTTTAGATCCTTGATTAATGATTATCCCTCAATTGAAATTTAACTGCCTCTGTTTTGATCATTGTCCGTAACAAAACATTGAAAGAACATAAATTATTATAAATATATATTTTTTTTAAATATTTTGACTTTACCTCCATCCAATTTTGTAATCTTGGCTATGCCACTGCCATCTTCAATATTTCTATTAAAACTTGATTATTATGGCATTAAATTTAAATATTTTTAAAAGAATACAATGTTTCAATTTCTGAACTAGTTTTGGGAAAATCAAATTATTTTTCTTTCACATTTCCACAAACGCTCAATTTAATTCTATAAATTTTACTAATTTATATACTAATAAAATAAAGCTAAATATACCTAATAATTTTATTTTATTATTTTTTTTAGATCAAAGACAAAAAAGTAAAGGTGCCAGCAGTAGTTGCTGTTCAGCCGCCTGTTCTATATTATGAATGTGTTCTACAACAATGCAAATATTGTGTATTTAGTAAAATAAATCAAGTATGCTTAAAATGCAACTTTCAAAACAAATTTGTAGTGAGTGGTTTCACCATTTACCCATGATGAATTGTGACCATTGGTGGGTTAATGTTCTATAGATTTTTTTTGACTTGTATATTTTCAGATATCCCCTCCAACTTTTTTTTTAATTATTATTATTATTATTTTTGTTTTTTATTAACTATATCATAGATAGGTCTAAAGACAAAAAATGTAATTATACTTTATATTAGGTTTATTAATACATCACAGATATGACGCAAGTATGAACCTGCTTCATTTGTTGGTATTTTAATAAACTGTGTTAAATTTATAAAAATTAACGCAACAAATTTACTGTACCATGATTATGGATAACCGAACTATCCTTTATTTTGTATTGTTGCAATTCATGATAAAAATCTGTAATCTTAACTATTATATTTTATTTAGATTTGTTCGGTCTTCCCTTAACAACAAAAAAAGAGTTAATAAAAAATAAAAATATTTTTATAAAAATATATATGTAAACATTTAAAAAATAAATGTTGTTGCACGGTATATGATTACTGTTCTCCATTTGTCTTTATGATGTATGTTTTGTGTAAATAGTAATATTCATTCAAACATTTAAATTATGTCTTGAATTATATTTTTGGGATGAAAGAAATCAACCTGCAATATCTCAGAGTCGTGCTTTGGTTTGTGCTCATTATTCTTAAACTATATGAAATATAAACTTGATCTTATTGTTGTATGAATATTAATTATATTGGTTGTCTTAAATCATAATGTTTATAAAAATATTATAGTATAATATACACTATTATCAAGAAACTCAAAATATATATATATGATTTTTTTTTGCTTTTACTCTTCTGTGATTTTTTCGTTATTATACAATTTTTTTTTAGATAATGTAATTGTGTAATATAGTACGTATATAAATGTATAATCTCACCTTTTTGATTCTTAATGTAAATCGTGTTTATTTCTAATCTCCTTATTTTTTTAAACCGAAATTAAATTTAGGATTAGGTGTATATTATTATCGTTGTCGTTGTGTAAAGTATATTAAGAAAAACGAATACATAATTATATAATATATATGATTATTTTAAATATAACAGTATGTATTATTATTATCAATATAGTATTATTTAACTGTTCGTAAATATTTGAGTATTTATTTTATCCTTTTTTAAAAAGAATATTACTGATTGTTACAACGATCGTTATTAGGATTGTACTGTAAAATATTATGACACCAAAACTTCTCTAAAACGGAATCATTTTAGGCCGTCCAATTTTTCTGTCTTAACAGAGTTTCCGACATGACGGAGTTCACATTCATTATAATATAATATATATGTATTTATGTACATATTATGTATTTGAATCGGGACTAAAATACATTGTCCGTGTTACCAGGGTTTCCATCTTACCGAAGTTTTACTGTATAATATTCCACTTAATATTATGATGACTGATTTTTGGTTTTCAAGGATTTTATGGTTCTATGTACCTACAAATGTAAAATAATAAGAGTTTATACAGATTTTGTTCCTTTAAAATAAAAAAAATTAATGGAAGTAATTTTATCCAAAATTCCAAAATAGATTTTTAATATATTTAATTATTATCAATTAGCCTAAGATAAATGTTATTTCCATTATTTTTATTTATTTTTATGTGTTGATATTATTAGAATAATTGTTATTTGATCCTTATATTATTATTCATGACTTAAGGGGTCGTTACAGTCGCATTTTGTTGTTTCCGTCTTACAAGTGCGTAACGTAGTACATTTTACGCTCAGCAGAACACGTTTATCTCCGTTAGTTTATAAATTAGAGCTTATACAATTTAAAGGTAAGATTATTATCTAGACAATGGCATAGGTAGACTTTTTATTATATTTTAATTTTAAAGTGAGTTATGAGTATTTTAAGATGTACAAACAGTTTACAATTTAAAAATACACTATTCAAATATAATAAAAAGCCTATGTCATTGTCTAGATATAATCTTACCTTTAAATTTTATAAGAGCTCAATTCGCTCTAATTTTTAAACTAACGAAGATAGATGTGTTCTGCTGAGCGTTAAAGTTGGTATGTTTCACGCTTGTAAGACGGAGACAACAAATGCCACTGTAACGTCCCCTTAAGGACGATTATTTTATACTTGAGGTTTTTCTGACCACTATAAAAACTCTTTAGAACATACCATATATTCAAGTAACTTACAAATGCTGTTTTATTTCCAAATTCCTTCCACCATGCGCAGTTTATAGTAGGTATAGTTTATTTATATTAAGGACTATTAACTGTTAAGGGGGACGATACCAACCGTTGTTATAGGTACCTAGATATATTTTGTTCATGAAACTATAAATGAGCTAAAACATCTAAAATCATACTTGAAGTCGTAACAAGATTTACCTGTGGTCGATTATCTAACTTTTTTAAATATTGACTAACCATCTTATTAAATTTGACTACAAGGCGTAAAAATTGATGACATTTTATACAGTGTGATTTATCATTTATGATTGTAAAACTCCAAGAGTGTATATAAGAACTTCACAGTCTTCACATCATAAAATCTAATCTAACACAATATTTCAAATGCAATCGTCGTAGACGATTAACAATTTCAGTAATTTCAACACGAAGACTTAAAACCATACTCAAATAGGTATATCATATTGTATACTCGTACATTTCGTTCCGTTTGGGTTACTTAATTCATTTACTAATTCATACTTCCGCAGTTCGGAGCGAAAACGCGCTGTGACGTTCCCACGACCGTGGTTCACCACTGGACTAGTGGACTACGACTACATTATATGGCACAGGTTTCACCCGGAATATTATACTAAGTTATGTGGTGGATGATTTAAAATATATATTTTTTGCCTAGGACAAGTGATGTGACGCTTGTTTTATTATCGGACGTGCGCAATAAACATGGAGGTATATAAACTATACCTATAGTATAGTATAGTTTATATACCTCGATGGCAATAAATAAAAGACACGAGATTGGCTGGTTTGTTATCGCCGATTGACATTATTGTTAACTTATTTGAAACTATACCAAATTGATTAACAATGTAGCCGAATTAAAATTTTATAACGATGCCACGGAGACATTCGTTAAAACATTATTTTAATTCAGTAGGTATAACAATGACTTCGTGCCTGTTTCGTGTATCTGGTCTCTAATAAATATAATTAAAATCTAAAAACTTTAAAAAATATATTCATGATGGATGGTGGGTAAGTTCCGGTCTCATCTCATAATGCTCAATGCAATTTAACGGTGGGCACATGTGACATGTGTCAAAAACTCAAAACTATACGTTTAATTGATTTTTAAAAATTGATATACACATATAGTTCAAATCAAAAATAACCTTGAACACACCTTGATATTTATTTTGAACTATTTCCTTAGATGTTCGGGCAATATAGTATGGGCAATGAGAAAAACAAGATGGTTACTCGCTTCAATCTCGTACAGACTTGATAGTTGATTCAGAAAAATTCAGTCAATATATACTGCAGTACTAAACGAAAAAAAGGTATCCAATTTTGGTCATAATTATGTTATTGGTCAAATGGGTTTATATAGTGATATTTTATCAATTTCAGAAGCCAAAATGTCGTATTTCCATTTTTTTTTCTAAAACATGTTTAAATTCGTAACTTTAAAGGTATGTACATAAATGTTCACAAAACAGAAGCATTTTCACTGTAAATCCTAATAATTAGCAATAATAGGGTAGATACCTATATAATGATATTCAAATTATTGGAGTTATGTGAAATCAGCAAGTTTTTACATTGCTTTTGAAAATAGTATCTCCAATCTCCCTATTATCAGGCATTTTGCCATCTAGTATAAATTAAATTTATAATGATAATGATACATCAACTTACAGTAGTTATTATAATATGTTACACGGAAATACGTCTAAGGGAAAAATGATTCTGCTCTGTAGAATGAACGAAATTTGATAATTTGTTTTTACTAATAGAGGGTGTAGTATTCTACAGGCCGCATCGAACTCCGTTTTTCGATATTTTAATCTCAAACTTTATAATATGTCTTCAAAAATAATACAATTTTAATCATTTTTTTACAAATTATATTATACCATTATTTTAAATAAAATAAAAATGCGGCCTATAGGAAGTCATATTCTTTCAGATAAAAAAATAGTTATCAGTATGGACAATATCTGACAATTCTATAATTGTACATTCCCCTGAAGACGTTTTCGGGTAGTAGATTATTAGAAAAATATTATAATTAAGGTAGCAACTAAAATATAAAATTAAATTTTCAAATTTTATAGAATTGCTGAAAATTTGAAAAACTGACCCTTTAAGAAATAGTTAAGTTATAACTACAACATATTATGTTTTTAACACTTAATTTGAGTTCAGATAATATTTTATATTTACTTTAGTGGATTATTACAGTAAGTATCTGAGTATTACTCAAATACTATTCTGAAGTATTTGAAATAATCTTCAAATACAAAAAAATTATCTTTTTACTTTTTAGTGCTGAAATAATTTGTAATCATCAAAATTTGTATATTGCATTTTAAAAACATGATTTGTTCAATAATCAAAATTCTGATCAGTCATGTTAGTTGTACCACAACAATGAACTTTTCTCTACAAAGTTATATATTAATTCAAAACTATAATATGTATTTGGATATCTCATACCACCCTCGACGATAAACGATAATGATGATTATTAATAAAAATTATCTTGGTAAATAGGGAGTAGTAGGTACTAATAATTACCTAGTAATAATATTTTTGTATTGTTAAATAATTATAAAGTATAATAGCCGGTAAGCAGAAGCTTTTTACATATTATAGATTTTGTTATCGACTTAAGCTAATTATAGTGATACCGACTACAGAATATGTATCTTTTCGATCTTCGTCAACAATAAACTGTCTTATAGAGAAAAAATCATTTAATCGACAAAAACCGATACCAAATTGTCTGTGTGTGTTTTTATTTAACAAGAATAATTATAAGTAGAAAAAAATTAAGAATAAAAAAATAAAAAATAAGTATTCAATAGTAAAAAAAGTGGGTAAGTGGATGTCGCTCTGCTGTACAGTAGGTTACAAGTGGGTCACTGTATAATGGATGCTTTTAAATTTGAATTCAATGATACAATATCATTGTATAAGAAAAACGATTCTGAGCGAAGACGGTATGTCAGTCTAGGTTTAAGACAAATTATATACATATCTATGGTATTAAAAAAAAAATTGACTTAGGTATGATAAATTCCAAATTAATCATATCACATTATCACAATATCCATTAGGTACTTATAACATGTTATACATCAACATCAATAACAAACCCTGATACTATCATAGATATATAATAGTACACTTTAGAAGTTTCAAGTAGGTACCCACGAATAATATTATATAGGTAATCACAACAAAATAACTAGGTTTTTTAATATGTAATTTCGTCCAAATTTGAACAAAAAATGACTATAAAAATAAACTGTGATTGTATATTGTTTAGATTTTTCGGTAAGAGAATTAATTACTTACGTGGAATCTTGTTTTTCATTTTCAATCCTTAGCTATAAAAACTGAACATTTTATAATTTATTAATTACGATGATTAATCATTTTCGAGATTTTGAAAAATTCTGTCAAAATTCGATGTTTAAATGCTTATAAAAAAAATTGTGCCAATGTTTTTTTAATATTTTTCAACTGATATTGTAACAATATATCAGGAGCCTTGTATTAAATTTTTACACTTTTTGGCCCAACAGATAAAACTTTGTTGATATTCATAGAAAAAAAAACTAAAAAAATTGAAAACTGAAAATGTCCGTAAACAGCTCAAAAAGAGTCAAAATATTTTCAAAATTATATGGTGTATAGGAAATGCTAATATAAACATTCAGTGAAATTTTCATGTATCTATAGTTATTCGTTTATGAATAACAACAAAATAAGGAAATCGCTACATGAGAAATCGAGTGAACATCCAATGATGTAAAAATTTTAATTTCAAACGCTCATAAAAATTTAATTTGACTGTCCGGTAGAGATTTTTTTATTGATAAAGGTAGACAAACTTATGAGTAATCTTGTATTACATTTTCAAATCTTAGATTTAAAAAGAAAAATTTTTACAAATTCTTAACTCAAAATAATTTGCTAATTTTCGTGATTTTTCCATATTTTGTCAATTTTTGAACTTTAAATGCTTATAAAAAAAAATTGTGACTAAGGATTTTTAATATTTTTCATCTGCCTTTGAAACAATATATTAGGAGCCTTCTATTAAATTTTCAAGTTTTCGAAACCAACAAATAAAATTTTATTGATATTTCTAGAAAAAAAACTAAAAAAAAATGAAAAATGAAAATGTCCCTAAACAGTTCAAAATAAATCAAAATATTTTGAAAATGTTATCGTGTATAGAAAATGCAAATATAAACAACCAATGAAAATTGCATGTATCTACGGTCATTTGTTTTAAAGTTACACCAAAAACCAAATTCAATTTTCTGAAAAATCGATTTTGCGTAAAAATTCCCGTTTTTCCTTAATTTTTCTTTTGTTTTTCTTGGCGCTTTTGAAAAGTACTGGGAATTTTAAATTTTGACCTCCCCAATGCACCAACGATATTCACTTTCCAATCGAACAAGATACTGAAGTCGAAAATCGAAGCATTATTTCGACTACTTATCGTGACACAGACACAAAAAAAAAATGAAAAAAAAAAACACACATCATTGTAAAATCAATACATTCATCGTTTCACTCAGAATCTAAAAAAAGTTTTTCAAATACTTCAAAATAAAAAGTATTTAAAAAAGTATTCAATAAGGAAAAAAGGATCTACTAAGAAAATCAGTATTAATGGTTTAATAGGTTGTGCCACATATTTATTATACATAATTTATGATATCACTATATAAATGAAACAATATCGATTCTAATAAAAATATCTTACTGCAGTTTGTATACTTACTATACTTTTTATTTTTATGGCGCAGTTTGATATTGACTTGTTAGAAAAATTTTCATTTTGTCACTACTAAAATCCAACTGGTGCAACTACTAATATGTTGGTACCTACTACCTACCTATGCCTATATACTTTTTGCGTAATAAAAACTAAACACCAAAAACGTAGTTGACGATTGACGAACCAATCCTGGTATTATGAGTCCTATGGTCCAGTATTAGGCAACCTATATATGGCTATATACACAGTTCTTCTAAAGAAAATTGAACCATTATATAGGAATTTAAAAATAAGATGGATAAAATATTTTCATTAAAAATAAATAAAAGCAATTGATTGTGTATTGAGTATAACTATAAATGTTATTTATATCTTATATATTGAAAAATTATTTATAATAAGTTTGAGAGGATCTTGAAAGATAATGTTTTCCACAGCCTTTCAAAGTTATCGGTTATTAACACAATAAATTATGTATTATAATATTATGCTTGTACAATGTTGCATGCATATTAAGTGACGATATAGTGACTAAGGCAATATATTGTATAATATGGTTAGTAACAGTGTATATTATATATATTATATAATATATATAATGTACATAAGCCACATTTGACAAAATGCAATTAATTATTAATCTAAAAATCGTATATAGAAGCTTATAAACATGTGGTAAATATGTGGTAAACAATTAAAATATTAAAAGAAGTTTGCAAAAAAAAAAAAATGTTTTGTTAATTTTTGTTTTTATAAGCGTAGGTACAGAGAAAAATAACTTTTGACACATAGTTTTCAACAAGTCTAAAATGAATATCACTTAATCCCTAGAAAAAAAGATATATTTTTTAAAAATTATTATTTCTGTTAATTATTGTCGACCATAATATTTTAAACGTTGTATATAAACATCTGAATTCCCATTTGTAACCCTGAAATAATATGATTAATTGTGTATTAGTTATTAGACCAAATACAAGAGTCTGTACCTATACATATTTAAATATCAAACAAACCTTTACAATTTAGAGCTTCTTGTACCAAAATAAGTAGTGTTCACCATTTTGTACGATTAGATCGTCAACACCGGTCGGAGCTACTAGTTGATTACTTGGAGGATTTTGTGGGTCAGGACACGATCTCAGTTTGTACAATAGCCAAAAATGATAACTCATAGGCTCTTCTTTAAGTCCCGAAAGGGTATGTACATAATGACCATTCGGCCATTCCGTAGCTGAAAACCTATATAAAAAACAATTATTATGTAAGTCTTGAAGATTAATTATTTTTTAAATGTGTATACAAATTACTACAGGAAGTAGTATTCAGTGGATTTTCTATTTAAAGAGAGGGTGGTTTAACACAGTCAAATAAAATTTGATACCTACATGTACCTAACTGCAGAATCAGATTACTTTGCTAATATAACATACCTATATTGTATAACATACCTATATTGTATAATATATATAAATAGTAGATGGATACTATTTAATGTTACACATAGGCAATACATTCAATTATATTATTCAATTTTATATTTTATATAACACCACAAAAGATGTAATAGAATTGTATACTATTTGGTCCAATCATCTAATTGCATTATTTCTGCATGCCCTTTTGGAAAATAATTTAACTATAGTAAAAACATAATATACACAAGATGATTTTTTTAAAGGAGACACACATTATTTAAAAAAATATTAAAATTGTTTAGAAAAATATTATAGTTATATATCTATATAGTAATGATAGTAATTTAATTATAATATTATATACTATTATCACATGTACCTAATGATATTATGTTTATTTAATCTTAGGCAATAAACACGTAAGTAATTTAGTATGCTCATTATTGTATTTTATTAGGTTTTTTATGTTCCAAGTTTTCAATGCTGACTATAGATTAAAACATTTATAGAAACATTTTAGATTCTGAGCGGAGTGATGATGTAGGTATTCATTTTATAATCATGCGTATTTTTTTGTTTTTTTTTGTGTAGGTATGTCATCACTCATCACTGTTTGGGGCAGTACAACTGCTTTGCTTAATTTCTTCAGTATCTAACTATATCTTTTTCGATGGGAATGTGAAATCGGGAGGTAAAACTTTATGATTCCCAATAGTTTTGGTAATTTGGTAATAATAGGTAATAATTATTCAGGGGCGTACTCAAGGGGGGGGGGGGTTCGTGGGGTTTGAACCCCTCCCATGACCTTACTAACCGATGCACTTTTGTGCGTTCTTGTTTATACATAATATAATTCACAGGAGCAATTTTCTAAAAAAAAATTTTTAAGAAGGGAAAAAATAAACAAATATATTTATTTTCAATTTTATATCAACATGCATTATACAACGATTACAAGCATTATCTGTTAAGAACTGTATTATGATAAAAAGATAAAATTTAAACCAAACATACAAGGTGTATAATTGATAAGTTGTCGTCACTCTGGACTCCTATACGTATTACGTATACACTATACACACTTGATTGAAAATATTACCACAGTTCTATAGTCACCAGAGCGCGCTTCTTGTCCTACGAAGGCCTGTATATTCATTCTGTTAAATGCAAAATGTCTTAAAACTTCAGAATTAAAATGCTAATATTTTTTAAAATTGAAGTCAGTATTTACAAAAACATTGAATCATAAAAAGTTTTTTTTTTTAATTGAGTTGGTATAATAAATTTGGAGCCTGTAATTATACATTACATTTGCATTTTATTCATTGGCAATATTTTTATAGAGTAGACACCAATTAGAAAAAAATATTATGTATAATTTAGTCACTTCTTTGGATATTTGCATGCTTCTTAAAATCTTTAAATTAAATTAAAACTATTATGATTCTACTCCTAATTCTAATAGTAGTCTGGTAGAGTGGAGTATTATTTTCTAGTGCTCATAAAAAACTAAAAACATGTTTAAAATATTTTGCATATTTTATTTTATGATTAGGTATATTATAATATTATTCAATAATAGTTATCTTATAAACTTCAAACTAATTTTGAAAAATTGTTTAGTTTTTTTGGTGTTTTCTTGTTTTTAGCACCTTGCTCATTTTTTTCTTTTGTAAGTGAATATCATTCTTGTTTTGACATAATGCGTTATGATATATTTGGTTAATATTTGACTGTGTATTGAGCAAACAACCTTTGTCAAAAAATTTGTTTATATATTTCTTCAATAAATATAAATTATGTTAGAAAAATAAACAGTGAAAAATGTATATGTAGTTTTCAAATTGAAATGTAACATTAAAAACATGATCTTTTACCAGGACAGCTAGTTATATTTATTATATTTAGATATTTTACACTATAATCTAGTACAGTATTTCTCAATTTTTTTTGTCGCGAGGCTCCCTAAATTTAATGTAAAACTGTCAAGGCCCCCTTAATCAAAATTATTAATTGTTTTTTCTAAATTAGGTATATACTAAAATTACTTGTACTATTTCACACAGATTAATTATTAAAATTTATAGTAATTTAATATACTTTTGAAAAATATTAATGATAGTATTAAAATTTAAGTATTTATTCTTTTACCATAAACGCTTAAAGTCAAAAAATAAAAATAAAAATAAAATAATAACATTTTTTACTAGTGTGCCTGGAAGTTCTAAGTACATTGAACCCTACAATAATCTTAAAAGAAAACATGAACACGTTAATCAATCGGAATCGGAATATTGTTCTTTAAATAAACATTTTTCATTTTTGAAATTTATTTTCTGTAGAGTACATTACCATGTTTATATTTAATACTTTTAAAAAGGAGGTGACAAAGCCCCCGTGATAAAAAACAAAATGTTCAACCCCCCCCCCCCATTGAAAATTCCTGAGTACGCCCCTGTAATTATTTAATCTATTACATCTATTACATCTATGACCTATGTAAAATATAGATATTTGACATCGCATACACACAACGATAAATTATTTGAGTATAACGTACGTGAAAGCGCTGTCTAAATCAGACGCTCTTTGCATGATCTCGTAAAACGTGACGTTATGATCGGCCGTGATGTTGATTGATCGTTTCTCCGTGATGTTGCTGCCGATCCACAGTGAATAGCTGACCGTCACATTGGTGCCGCTGTCCGACATCTGTGGCAGACGGTATTCGTCGGTGGCAACGGGTTCGCTCACGTTGACGGACACCGGACGTTTGGTGTCGACGGCCGATGGGTGTGGTATGATCACCGCGGTACCGACGTTGTCCTTATCTATAATGTTATTCGTTATATTATAAATTAGTTGTGTCGGTAACCCAACAGAGGTGTATATAGTCAAGAATTACGATGTCACCTCATAACAACCCTAACGGCTAATCAACTATCCCCGTCCCCGTCTCTCACGCTTCCCGAACACTCACCAGCTCCGGGCCGGACCTCGCAGTGGTCGGCTATCCCCTCGGCGACTCCGGACACACGCGCCAGAGCAATTATCACTTCAGCCGTCGTTGCAATGTCGAAAAAAGCTCCGTCGGGTCCTTGATGGTTTAACAGCCAGTCGACAGCGTTTGTTCGGTTCCACGTGGCTTTGCCCTCTTGTAACGCCTGTATAGCAGAAGAATAGGATGAATAACGAATTGTAATTATTTATGAAGAAACGTAATATTATATAAATAATATAAACAAGTCGATTCAGCTGTACGGTGCCAGTACTCTGTGACATAGGCGGAAATCCATTACAATTTCAGGGGGGCTAACATTATTACCAAAAATATGAGGGGGTTTCGATTCCATATAGAATTAACAAGTTATCTGTTTTTTTACTCGTGTCAATTGACTTCAAATCATATGTGTCAATTAGCAGCCACAAACCATTTGGTTTTTAATAATTTACATTATTAAAAAACGTATACTGGGCTTTATACACGTACATACTATAATGTAATGATACCCAACATATAGCTACTATAATAAATATGCAGTTCTTCACAGATCCACCTCCTAGGGACATATTTTGTAAAGGATACCTTTTTATATACGCTTCAGCATTCTCCTCCACACACACACATACGAGCGAGATCTACATCTACCACTGGAATGGTGGAATGTATAGATTATGATTTATGGTACTCACTCGGATTGCAAGTGCAGTCGTGTGAAGACTACCAAATCCTCCGTCCGGCTGTTGGAGTGCTACCAATGTCGCTAATGGTTTCTTGAGTAACGGTTTTACGTTCCGGTTGCGATGGTCGTGTTCCACGCACTGAAGCGCTAATATGGCCACACTCAATGAATCTGTAAATAAAGATACAATACGTTATTAATTTGTTTAGGAAACATAATATAGCCGATCTATTAAAATTCAAAATAATATTATCAAATATGAAGTGTTCATTTCACAAAATGTTTAGCAAAAACACATATTATATGTATAGATATATATTATATAGAATATCACTATTTACTATACCGGGTTGGGTTATAATAAGGATACCTAATGAACTTACAGTGATGAAATCAATACACTTGCGTCCTTCACTGTTAATTATTAACATTAAATAGGTATTAACGTCTAACATCAATATGAAATTCTAATAAATAATAACTTATTAGACATTACTATTTTAGTGAATATATTTTAAGCAATCGTTATTATTGAGATTTTGTGATTGCACTAATTACTATAACCTGAAGATTTTTTAGTCGTTTAGGTGACACAATTGATTAAATACCAAATGCTATGTATCTATATTATTTATTTTTACTAAATATTGGGAAATGCTCACTTCTGTTATTATTTTATGGACCTATAGTATACGATTATTAAACCTTTGAACAAAAAGCAGTATAGTTATTGTTTTTCTAATCTATTGTATTGTAACTGACCCACTGTGTGCTTAGTGTTTGCTATCTCCATTAACCTTCTAATGTGCCTTTTTCTGACGTGTGTACCCGATTCACAAGCCACCAGGGAGCTATACGAGAAATCCAAATCGGATATAGTTTCGTGTTGTAGCAACGAACCTGTAAATTAAACTGTTGAATTAACACGATATTTAAATTCGGCGATTCGATTATTAGAATCTATTACAATTTTTATTTAACTGCCTATCGCAATTTTTTTTATAACTTTTACCAATCAAATCGTGTCCGTGGAATTGTCTTGGATCGTGACAAGCACTAGCCAACGCCATTGAGTACGTCGCTATGTTGGCTACAGTTAACGCTTCGTCTTCGTCGTCTTGTTGTTGAAGTGTAACCGAATCTGGGTCATGATGTTGCCATAGCCTAGCCAAAAGCTCGATTTCTAGTTGTTTGGCGCTCAGTTCCCGCTCCAGACGTCCTCCGGTTTTCGTCATCTCCATGGCCACAATGGCCTGAGCGGTATCCGTGCCGGTTCCCCATCCCCAGTCTTTGCCCCTCTGTAATGTAAGCCAGTCAATAGCTCGTTGTAATTCTGTAAAACAACGAAATACATTAATTTCCGTTCGAACAAACGTGGTTTTAATGAAAAACCCATAGCCGGATACGATTAACGCCGAAGTTATATAGGTATTGCACAAAGTGTCGATAAACACGCCGACTCGTGTATTATTTGATAGTAGCTTTGTTTAGAGCGATTATTGTCTTTTTTTAATTTTCCAAACCAAAACATTTTCTCAATGTACTGATCGTGAAAATGAGTTATAAACTATAATGTACTAATTGGTTTTTGTTACACCTTAATGAAGGATTGAATAAGTAAATAAAATTCGCACAACTGGTGAAAGCTCAGTTGTTTCATATTGTATTTTATGATAAAACATTAAATTTATGAGGCAATAAATAATATTATATTATTACTTTTATTTGTATACAAAATGATTTCTATTATAGTCGATATACATTTAATATTTAATTTAACAAATAACAATAAACTACCTATTGGGATAAAACCATAATGGAATAACTTATAATCAACCGATTGAATATATCGACGAACGACGAACCGTTAAAATGAATTGTCAATTTTTGTGTTTATGATTTTATAGTGTTGTATTAATTGTACACATTTATTAAATTAATATTAATATGTATATCATATTTTGTTCCATATAATATGGTCTCTATAGTATAGTGTATACACAATACACATTATGGTCGAATACATGAATCTATCAGAAATACATTAGCCGGTTTTTAAGGACGCACCTCTAATTTACTGCTGTGTTGTGATTAAATATGTTGATATATATACATGTGTTTGTAAATAATTTGAAATTGTATTAAAATATTTCAATAGTCATAACTTTTTAAAGAATGTATTATAAAAAAGTATACAAACGATTATTGATTTCATTCATCATCGAAACATGAAGCTTTGAGTTAAAATTGACTCATAGAAATGCCTGCAGGCATACGAATCCATTCAGTAGATATATGCAATATTTACTTAGCTTATCAACGTCTGCGGTGTACTTTATATTACGTAACAAATAACAATGATAATATCGCCCACTTATGTGTAGGTAACGTTACCTCCGAATCAGCGAAAATTCTTATAGGATGTAAAAGTTAGGTTATAATATAATATAAAATAATATAATATATATCATATCAAACGCCAACATTGCAGATGCGAAATTATTTAGCATTAGTTATCATGTTTACCACATCCACCATCACCATCTGCATCTACCTAAATCAATTCATACATAAATCACTCCTGTCACTCACCGTGTCTAATATTTGGTGATTTATGTGATGGATTACTATTGTGATATCATATAGTGAAGTCTTGTTCAACTCTGTCAACTCAATATATATTCCGAATGTTCGGCATAATATGACTACACGATTCACTTTAATTAATTTATTGATTAAAATATTTATGAGCTGTACCTGCGCGTGCGTGATTTGATTTAATTGTACAGTTGATCGACGATAAAAATTCTGATAATTCAAACAATATCTGAATTTGAAGTTAATAGGAAATATGGATTACTATAAATTACCATCTCAATACCATAAATAATTAAAGTGATTTGGTATGAGTCATTTATTTTTTATAATTTGGACGATGATTTACATTTAAATTTATCATGTTTATTATAACCGTTATAATACATTATGTCATTATGGTAACTTAACTATATTGTCTCCAACCTCGCCCATAAATGACAGATAAGTAATGTGTGAGCATCGGCAGAGTGCTAGTTTTAAACCACTCATTAGTTGTTAACTATATTGCTATAGTGAAGAATAATAATATTGTAGAGTGTAGACTGTAAATTGTAATATCAATTGTTGGTACATTTATAACATAATAATTTAAATTAAATCATGACTTCGTTAATGCAATCTATAATATTTCGTCTTAAACTGGCACAAGTAGTGAGTATTGTATTTGAAAAAAAATGTATAAATATGATTTTATTAAAATAATATTTTAACCTGATTTTTTTATACGAATATTATGAATATTATAATTGTTTATGATTTCTTTGGTTTTATTATTAAATGTTGTGTATAATAATGTTTGATAATTAATATTATACTTCTTCAGTGACGGCACCAGGCGTATAGGCCCGGGTCCACCATTAAAATTTAAATAAGTTTGGATTCATTCAATTTTTATAATTTTTAAATAAATCATAATCGGTCATTGGTTCATAACTCATAAGAATACAAAAATATTGTAAGATAATATGTAGGTAGGTAACATCGTTTTAATCGTGTTGAAAAGTAGGTATGTATTCGAGCTTCATAAGACTCGTTTTTACCAGCTTCTAAATGCGAGTGAAAATAAAGTTATGTAACAAGTATAGGTGTACTATATTGCAATAACATACCTTCTTCTGTTTAGGCTGTTTCTTCTACTTCATGTGCTTCATGGATAGGATAAAAACATACTACTGAGAAATTTATAAAATATAATTCTATGCTCCACAATAATCTATATAGCTAAGCATAATTGCTTTGCTATAATTGAATAACTAAATGCAAAAAGGGCAAACTTTCACATTTCGTAAATTCTTTAGGAGAGACAAAAAGCTTAATAGGTATCTATAGAAAACATTGAAGAAAAAAATTGAAAATTAACATTATATAGACAATAATGTTAGACATTACACATTTTATAATGTACCTGTAAACTGAACATGTGCCTCGTTTGCACAGAACGATGTATTTATCAAACCTAAACAAAAATCTGTAAAAAATGTGATTTTATGAAAATTATGGATAATAGATATATGCCCTTATTGCATTTATTAATTTATATAATGCTATATTGTATTATTGTCTGAAGCAAATCGATAAATACTGACAATATTATTAATAGTTTTGACGAATATCATAAAAATAGAAGAATATTGTTAAAATAAATTATATGCCTATATTATTTTAAAAATATGTAATTTTTAGTTGTTTTTGACTTTATGTACACTATTCTTATTGTTATATGTTATATTATTATCTTGTCTTTCTTATTATTATTTCAAATTAATTTTTATTATGCAATCAATTTCATATAAATGCTTACATTTTTTAATTTAAAGTTAAATTGTTTTTGATTTAAATATTTTAAATATTGTATTTATATTGTTTTACCTTTTAAAAAAGGAATGCTTGCTGTTTGAGTTTGTTCTATATTTGAATTGTTATTATAAAACATAATATTTAACGTTAATTTATAAATGTTTCGTTATATTTTATTATGGTTATACCACAATTAATGGTGTGCTTAATATTGGGTGTATTTTGGGAATTTTGATAAATATTAAATAAAAATCTTTTTCCTCCTTAAAATATATTGGCCTCAGCTTTGTCCACCTGGCACAAAAATTCTGACCCTGCTGAAGTATACTAGTGTGATACATAGTTTCCACATAGATAGTAATGATTCATAATATGTTTTTATAATTTATATTTAGTATTTGAAATTGAACGCAGGTAGGTAGCTAATTATTAATCAATTATTATCAACATATAGGTAATATACCATAAACTATAGACTATAACAATACAAATTACACATTGATAAATTATATTATGTACCTATACCTAAATAATTTAATACAAATAGATATTCAGTAGGTACCTTCTATTAGTTCTATTTAAGTAACATAATAAACTTATATACATATCGAAATATGAAGATTTAAGAATTATCATGTAAAATTGCACGGAATAATATTGTATTTCCTGCATACATAAACGTGTAGGTGATAAATAAACAATATTGAATATATTCATAGCTTAGAATATTAGAATTAAATAATTCCAAGTATCGGTTTATTATTCATGGGATATTTAAATATTTTATTGATAATTATTCACACCTTAAATAATGAAATAGATACCATACAGTTACAGTTTACACTAGGTATTAGATAAGACAACACGACTATATATTTTATTGTCTGCGTTTATGGCCATGGTTTATTTAATTATTTTCTTATCATTGTTGTAAGAGTCATGTGATTCTATATTGAAAAAATATTTTTGTAATGTCATTTGAATCTTGCCTTCATTAATATAGTTACCTATCAATACTTACCTGTACTATACCTATTACCTAACCTAATACATTATTATTATAATTTATTTTAATCTGTTTTTGTTGTACGCATATAATATTTGGTTCCATAGTTTATTTACCCCTCTATAAGTAAAAATCTTTCTGTGGATAACTCAAAGTCTAAACAGCCAAAATATATAACAATTTCTGTAGGCCATAATTTGATAAAATAAATTTCCGTTTATTATACTCATTAAAAAAAATCAGTAAATGATAATAAATATATTTTAATTATAAACTGAAATTTAAAAAAATTCAGTTTTAATTTTTTTTTTTTATATAACGTAGAAATTATAATGTAGAAATTCAATGATCAATTTGCTTTTATATTAAAAAATACCAGTAAGGCAGTAAGTGTAGGTATAGTGGCATAGTTGTCTAAATAATGATATTGTATAATTGTAGGTATATTATATTATAAGGTTCAAATGTCAAGGGGTAGGTGGTATATGTCCCTGGGGCCTACTTATTTAAAGAGCACATTTAGTCTTTTCAGCTTAAAATATTATCATAAAAAAGCACCCGGTAGATTTTGTACACTAAAATACGATCTACGAGAATAATGATCCTGTTCTGTAAAATCAACCAAACTTGTTTTTTTTTCAAATAGTTGATCTAATAGAGAATAATATTCTTCAGGCCACATCGAACTTCGTTTTTCAATATTTTTTCCCAAACTCTATAGTATGCCTTAATAAATAATACAATTTTAAGCATTTTTTACAAACTATATTATACCATTATTTGAAATAAAATAAAAAATCAGTTATCAAAATCCGACAATTTTACAAGGCTTGAGAATTATTCCCGTGAAGTCATTTTTTCGACACCCCATCGCCCCCCCCCCATAAATAGGATTTTAGCAGTAGATTAATGGGAAAGTATTATAATTAAGGTGGCAAATAAAATATAAAATTAAATTTTCAAATTTTATAGAGTTGCGGAAAATTTAAAAACCTGGCACCGGGCCCCTTAAAATAAATCGGTCTTTTGTATTTATTACAGAGTAAAAACAATGCAATTTAACTTTCATGGCAAACTAAAAAATTAATACATAATACTATATTATGTTCATATAAAAATAGTATATACCATCAGGGCTTGTTTATATGGGGGCCAACCTAATTATAAATTAAATTTTAATTTAGATAGTAGATATATGATGTTTTAAATTTTTAAACATACTTTATAAAAAATTAACATACGATCAACAAAGAAACGTTATTAAACAAAAAAGGGAATTTTTTAAATGAATAATTCAATCTTGTATTTGATTTAACGAAAAACTTGAAAAATTTACGAAATATTTGGTGTAAATGTATTATTGAATTACAACAAAAACGAAAGAAAAGCAAACAACACTAGTTGTACAGAATCTGTAATACGAATAAAAATAGGAATACCTTTTTTATAAAAACACAATGCTCATACATCAACAAATTAAACAAATGTAAAGTTATACATTTAAAAATAACAAATAGTTTTTAATTAAATATTGTAATAATTAGTAATAATTGCTATTAGTAAATATTTATATAATACACACTTAAAGTTATATTTTATAGTATAATTAAGTTTTATTAAATTATTACAAATACCTTGATTTTTGAAAATATAGATTATAGGGCCCGGATAAAAAGTATTTACCAACATTTGATGTGATGGGCATGTATACAGTTTCAGTACCATATCGTTATAAGTATTTTTTTTTATTTTGCATTGATTGTGAGGAAGAAACCATATATCCGGCACCTAGTCCGCTTGAGATCTTAATCCGAACTTGTATATAGAGTGTCACAGAAAGGCTTGACAAATTAAAAAACATTGATATGTACTATAGTTAAAAATCATAAAAATTATATGGATAATAAATAATTTAAGATTTACCTACTTATGTCTGAAAATTCCTAAAAAGAATATTTTAAAAAACGTATTACGCTACGAATTAATTTAGTAAGGAAACATTAATATTTAAAAAAGGTTATGTAACTGTTTAAATAAATATTTTATAGTCAGATAAACGTAATGTTTTCGAGCGAGGGACGATGAGTAAATAAATAGAATTATGTTATATATACAATTAATCGAGGAATCTTAAAATGCATTTTAGTACCAATTCAATATGGCCCTGATGAATTGTATACGTCAAAATTAGTTGTACCGTTTCATATTAACAATTCTTATCGAATAAGAGTTTAGAAAATAATTAATAAAAGAATGTAATTAAAAATGTTTCCATATCCGAAAATCTAAAACATACATAATAATAGTATATATTTTATTTTTATTTTTTAGATTCTTTCTTTTGGAAGTATCATACCAGTGTTCGCCGAAATATCTGTTACATATTTCCAGTTCACTTCAGATTTCGTGTACCTAACGCTGTACAGCTACTTGGGAATTGGTATTATCACTCTGGTGAGCTTATGTATAGCAGAACCAGTCTCCGACAAATTGGTAAACATATTATACTTGTACATGAAGTGTACACATTGCTCGAATAACCTAAAAGGCCAAAGCTTATATTTATATAAACCGCCCTTAAAGACCTAACCTTTAACATAATACACACGCATGGTAAATGTATGTCGTTACAGGTTTATAGTTTAAACGGTCCCCTAGAGAAACTCTGTTGAAATCTTTAACTCTCGTTAACTTCCCATCATTCCGTATTTCCTCTCTTACGCTTCCTATGATGTGCGCGGTTCAAAGTTCGAGTATATAAAGTATATGCTCGGTGAGCAAATAGCCCGAAGGCTTTTGCCATAAATTTAAACTGAATACTGCATAATGTGTAAGGAATTATTAATGAACTCGTGTCACAAAATTCAACGTTTTTGTTACATATATATGTATTATACCTACGTTTTGAGATAAATCTTCAATAATAAAGTACCTATTTATAAACTACATTTAACTAAAAACTTAAATTTGTAAAAATAAAATGTATACAAAAAGTATACAGCCAGTATACTAGGCCTTGTATGCCTAAATACTAGGTAGCACTGTATAGCAGGTACGAAGTATTACTATATTATAATATGGAAAAAATATAGCTTAAAATTTTAAAATTTTATTTAATATTTTGTTTCAACAAAGGTTGGTTCTCTATTTTCATAAAAAATATATTTGATTGATAAAAAATGTATATTATCGGCATTATTTCTCAAAGTTTATCGAGTTAAAGTTGTGAAATTTGCAGTAAAAAAAAGTTCGTGAAAATTAAATAAACAAATGTATTTATGTATTTAACATTTTAACATAAAATATAAGTATCTACTAAAAAAAAAAAATAATAATAATAATAAGTAACGATTGTATTTATTATTGAATCAATGTTGGGTAGATTATACATAATTTAACAGTGACCTTAAAACTATTAATTATTTCTATTTTTTCAATCACAGTATAGGTATATATTTGTTAAGTATCCGTCTATTGGACAATTGCAGGTGTTTAAATATTATAGAAAAAATTGTCGATTGACCGTGATAACATTTTATATGACACATACAATTAAAAGTTGCACGTGTGTAAAGTCACACAAGCCCATATACCACACCCCATAAATAAAATACGATAAGACATGATATATTATAGGTCATAATAGTAAAAAACATGGAAATATAAATACATAAACATATCATCAATATTTATAATATTTTTAATACTAAATATTTTTTTGTTGGGCTGGTAATTAATATTGGTATTCGCTTACTCCTGCATCTTTAACTAAATTATAAACTATTGTGCAAAATAGTTTTCCAGTTTGCAAATAATAAGATTTCCGTTTCCGCTTTTGAAACAATTGAAATTCCAGCATTGTTATTTGTTATTTTCAGCAACTCAGAGGGCAAAAAAATTATATTTAATTAGACGTTAAAAATAATTTATAAGATTGTGTTTTTTATATGTTTTATATTAAAAATTACACGATTCTGTTATTATTTTATAAGACCAAACTACCATTTAACCGTACAATTTATTTTCAATGTTAAATCTTATCAGATTATAATTATTTATTTTCGTAATTTTGCCCACCACCCTGACAAAAAATCTATATTATCATTTTTCAAATAAAAATGAATGAATAACCCTCGAGTTCATTGCTTCTTTAAATTCCACCCACCACTCACGATTTTTATATATTAAATAATTGTATTGTAAATCGTAGGTGTAAAGATTAATTTTATGATTTATTTCTTCAAATATAAGGTTATTATTTTGTACGCTGTGCAATTTTTTGTATAATTTACCGATTATTGTCGATTGATGATGACGATTTCATATTAAATATAATAAACTTTTCCGGCGAAATAATAATAAACAATAACAAAATGAATTATATTTTATTGAGCACGCGTTTTGCAAACTAGATAGGTATGCGTATCAATTCTCTACATGTCGAAATTCTATAAATATAAAACCAAGACTAGCATATAAAGTACACGTCATAAAAATTTCAAACGCGAAATTGCCCGAAGGTACCTGCTATACTGCTATTACTATTTAATAATATAATAATCCGGCTAATTCGACGACGTTACCTGCCGCCGTCACCGACGCGCACGCACACACAGGAAAAGGGCTGTCGAACACATAACGAAGGGATGTGACCCTATACATATATTATATTATAAACACGCACACACTCATAAATTGTACACGTTTGTGTGCAGGGAAAATTAATGAGCCGAGCTCTATATTGGATGTAAAAAATTCATTGTCACACGCCGCCGAGGGAAAAACTCGCGTGTCGAACAACCGGTGCAGAGGAAGTAGGTCTGTTATAATTTCGTATGTTATTATTATTATTATTATTATATTCCGCCGGTGCGACAGAAAATTGGATGCGAAATATAATAACAACACGCGCGCGACCCAAACACATACACATACACACACTACAGCTAGCCCGACGATCAATATCACCCGGCTGATTGTTGTACGTTTCGCAAAACACACTGCAGGCCTCCGCGGTATGTTCGACATTTAATAAAATTATGGGGGTATATACATACACTATACAGATGGTATATTTGAACGAGTCGAAATCATTGAGACATAAGCCCCGGGACGCGTTTGTATAATCTATCGTACCCATCGGCCGAGTCAGTGACGTATTTATTGCAGGGAGGCCGCGGCGAGCGAAATTCGATATAATATGTATATATTGTTAAAAATACGTGAAAATCGTAAAATACCAACCCACTTGGATTTTTTGAAAATTATACAATTTATAATTTTATATATTTTAAATATTTTAAAAAACATGTGTTTATAATATATATATATATATATTCAAATAATTGTATACAATGATATAATATGATTAAATAATTGTGTAATATTAAAACAGGGAGTGTTCGGGATAAAAGCCCCTTATTTTCGGAAAACTATCTAATTTCTTCCCTCTCCCTAATTAAATATTCCTAAATACGTATTTAGTAATTTTCACGGTTCCCAGGCCAAATGCGCACGTGCTCGGCTTCATCACTGTTTTTGACTGTATTTTATACTGTCATTGTTATTGTTGTTGTTGCTTTATCGGACGTCATCGTTTCTAGGCTCTATACTCTTCGGGCCTGGCCGTGGTCCTGCACCTGATATCGACGTTTTTCATCATCAAAGACGTGCTCGGCTACGATGAGTTATGGGGATTGCGGATCATCAGCGGACTGTGTACCGGAGGAAACACCGTGGCCTACGGATGGGAAGTGTTGTACTCGACGAAATTCATACATCATTAATGCTACGACGACGGCATTACGCCGGATAAAGAAATGACGATCGTTCGAAAAATGAATATACTTATAATAGGTATCTTTTTTGTCCTCTCCTATACTAAATTATTTTATTCTCCGTCGCCATATATAGCATAATATTATGTATATAAGACAGAATAAGCGTCGCTATCGTATTTGTACAGGTATACCAATACTCGTATATATATCATATACTATTTATAATATATTATCTTGTAATGATTAATATAAAATTATTTATTAATTTGATATTAATACCATCGACCTTACCCGATTTGTCTTTGACGGCGTTTTGGGCGGCGGCTAGATGGGGTACGGCCGTGATCACAACGGCGGCGATGATTATCGCGGCAGCCGGTGGCCACCGTGGTGGTCGTCGTGTAGCCATATGACTACGGTGGTGGGACTACGCGGTGGTGCCGGGACATCGAGACGACGTACTTCACGGCGTCAGTGGCGGCGGCGTCAGTGAGGGCTCCCGACCAGTTGCGCCGCGTGCGCGTTCGATATAAGCTGCCGCCGACGCGCCGAAGTCGCTGGCCACGCCTACCCCACAACGGTCAACGCGACGCCACCGCTAGGCATCTGTGGCGCCTGTACGTCGCCCCCACCGATCGACAAGCGGGCGCACGTTCCTATCACGCGGGGGTAGTGGGTAGTAAGGGGTTGTAAGGGGGAACAATGAACATAACCTAGATCGCATTACTTTTTATTTCTTACCCTCATCCCCGTCCAACGAGTGGTAGCCGCTGCCGTTATACGGCGCACACCTCTGATCATCCGCTGCTAACACCACCGCAGCGAGAGGAGATGAAAATATAATAATAAGATTTGCCGGAGAGATGCCTGCTGCAGGACCGGATGAAGTTAATATATATATATGTGTGACTGTGTGTGTGTACAGTTTGGGTGTGCGTGGTGGGGTGAGGGAGGAATGTATATTTCCGGCACGATTGAAAATCAATTTACCCTCCCGCGGTCAGGTCGTGAATGCTGCACGGTTTGAAGAAATGCCGAAAATGCTGTAAAAATAAAAAGGGAGATTATTAATATACGTATTCCGTTTATTAAACCGTATATATAGGTACCTACACCGTCACACCGACGATGATGAAAAATATATCCTTGAAATATTACCAGCATAATGTCGTCGTTATAATATATATATATAAGTGCTGTAAAGGTATACCTACTTGGTCGAAATCCCTTCGGGTATGAAATTGCTCTTATATCGCTAACGCGATATTGATGAATTCTGCGGCTGCCTCACCATATACAATACCTTATATACATATACATATATAGTCTATAGTTATACTATATATATATATATATTAGTTGTTATGAATAACGTACCGCTGAGAAAATATAATATCGACGAATATCGTGAACAATAGTGCTGCTGTTTCTGCTGATAGTACCTATAAATGTATACTTTTAAGTTTAGGTACCTATATATAATATATTGTGTAACTTTATTGTATCTTGTATATGTATCGATACGGTTTTTCAAAGTAATTGGTAACTGTTGTAGTGTTGTATTTTGTATACACTAACGACTAACACCATACACGTACACTCTTGTATATTACATGTATATTATATATAGTTATATATTATTTGAAGTAATATTTACATACCCTGTTACTGCGGAGTCCTGAATGGCTGCATGTATATGATCTCTACAATCTACTGTCTGAAGTATAACCTACCGTTGTAATGTGAACGAATAATATTATTTATTTGTATCTATTTAAGACAGCCGGAATAATTGTTAACTCAAAATACGACAAATCTGAAAATACACAGAAAGCTTACCACCCATCGTCACCGATCACCATTCACTGATGTATTAAAATAATATTATCTTTTACCTTGGCATTAGGCTTTGATTTGAATACTATTTAAACAAAAATTAATCATTAACTTATATCCATTAATTAAATGCATAACATGCATTAAATATATTAAAATATATAATTATGTGTCTATGTATATATATTTTCAATGTATTATAATATCATGTATATCGTAAATGGAACTTTTTTTTAACGATTCCCGGTGACATAGCAGTATACAATATAATCATGGTTCGATCGTGATCACACAACTCAGTGAGGTTTAAGTTTTCGCCGTTTTCGGTGTGTGGACTAATCCCGGAAAAAACCCAAATGTTTTTATCCGGCCGTATAATGTAAATAACATAATACGATAATGAGTGTAAATAGGCTACAATTATATGGTCGTGTGGAGGGGTGGATGACGCTAACAATCTAAATACTTACCTTAACAATAAAAAAAACCGTTCTCGCATCACTCAAAAACATGTGTATAGAAAAATAATATTACACAATTTTTTTAATATTTTGGTTTAATATGGATGGAAGGTTTTGGTATTAAATAACGAAAATCTATAAACCATTTTGTAATTAAAAATATTATGTTTCAATATTTAAATCCCTAATGTATGATAATATTACAAGAGCCCTCTACACTGTTTTAATTGAAATGAATAAAAATTAAGGCTAAATAGGCAGTTTACATTTTTATGAAAGTTTGAAAAATAGAATTTTGACAAAATTGGGCACTGAAACGACATATAACAATATTAGTTAATATTATATTATATTTTTATAATCCAAAATAAATATTTATTATAGACTTAAAACTTTCTACCATTATAATCCAGGAGAACAATCTACACATCTCTAAAGTATTAACTATTACATCTACAATCTACTCTGGCAGTCTGGCTCCCTCGTTAAAAAATCTCAACGAAACCAACACCGAACCCTCTATACATATTATACAAAAAACCCACATATCCTCCTCTTTTTACAAAGCAAGAATATTTTCATTTAATACAAAACCATACCATAAATGAAAAAAATTACACAGACGCTTCCAGAAGCCAAGTAGGGGTTGGAGCCGCAATAATTTGGAACACATGGCATTCATGTACAAACTTCCCAGCTCCTGCTCAGTTTTTATAGCAGAATCAATTACCATAACAAAAGTTCTCGAGCTAATAACAGCACACCACCCCCAAAATACCATCATCTTCATTGACTCACTCGGAGCTATCAATAATATTAAAAATACATATAACCCATCAGACATTGCCTTACATATTCAAAGCAAAATATAAACGCTACAGAACAACAATAACTACAAAATTAAACTCTTCTGGATTCCCGGATACTCTACCATCATAGTAAATGAGCTCGCTGACCTCTCAGCAAAAACCGCAATCACCTCTTCAATATCATCGCACACAACACCAACAATTTAATATTCCCTATCGAAATACCCTGAGAATTTGATGTCATTTTAACAAGACTCAGAATCGGACACACTCAATCTCCCACAGTTTTTTAATGGCCAAGGAAGAACCCCCAACATGCAAGGCCTAGGGGTCCAAGTCGCCATCAAACACATCCTAACCGAATGCCATATTATATACAACATTAGAAGAAGCTCCAACCTTCCCAAATCATTAACTGAAATACTACATAACCATCCTCAGTCAATATCCAACATCATCAAATTCATCAAAGCAGCCAACCTTCAAACCTAGATTTAAAAAAATTATAATAATTATAATAAGTAGACAGTTAGGTAATTAACTATACCATTTTTAAACCCAAGACCTATGTAACCGAAGGTCTTTCTCTAAATAAAAAAAAAAATTATATTTTAATTTATTTATACTCAATGACATTTTCATTTAGATTTGTTATGCCTATTTAGATTTTAGACTAATTTGAATTACCTGCACACGATTTTCGAACAGTTATTTTTTTATTTTTTTTTTTTAACATTTTTTGGATTACCTTTATACAATCTGTAATGGTATTTACAATTAGCGTATGTGCTAAAAAATATATATGTATGTATACAAGACGTGTTGACGTTAAGAGAGAAGTCACTCAGCAGTAACACTCAGAATTTCCGAACAGTAATTTTAAAAATATTGAAAATACATGAGCACAGTTTCATTTGATAAGTGTTTGAAGTTAAAATCTCAAATTGTCAGTCTTTTTCGATTGGAATGTTCTTTTCATGTATACCTATAATGATTCTCCCTACCTATATATTATTACCTGACTCCACCAAGAATATCACTCTCTGGGGTTATTTTAATAACTTGTTTTTGAAATAATTACTATTTCCGTTCACGGAAGTAATTCATAGAAATAAATGAGGATTTTTTTTCATTATAATATTTACCAGTTTTACAAAAAAAATATGGTGTTAGCACTTTTTCTATGAACATTTTAGTCTTTTAGACGGTCCAAATATACTGTCCTTAATTTACGTATAAAGGGAAATACTACAATAACTTATTTTTTCATTTGTTTTTTGAGGCTTAGCCCCATCCCAACCCAACCCCAACCCCTCTCCTATTTTCACCCAATGATTATAGAAAACCAGAAAGTAAATGTGCTGAACGTAAAAATAAATTAAGTGTCTAAACCCGGGCGTAACCATTTTCCGCCAAAATGACTCTCACCCGTTATCATCATAACCGTTTTCCACCAAAGATAATATTTCGATTTTCACCAAAAAAATTAATAAATTATTTAAGATATTTTTTGAGAACCTTTAATATCAATTATATCCCTCTATATTATTATTATTATTATTATTATATAAATAATTCAAGACAAATAAGAAATGATAAGAAATGAAGAATCCCAACATTCAAAAACACATTCATTGGCATTTAGCTAGGTTTGAGTTTGTTTAACACTTTTTCATATAGTAAATATTCAATGTGTTAAAATATGTTTGAATTTTTGTCTTTTTATAAAGTTTTATTTTATAATTTAATGTATTATTTGTACGAGAAACTTGTGATGTTTTTAATTATTAATATTTATATTTATACCGTTTATACCTACTATTCGTTTTATTATATATGCATTTAATATTTTAATATGAACAATATCTGTCGTCTGTAATACAAGGAGCGTACATCGTAATCATTGCTATTTGAATGATTAAAGTTCAGGGGTTCTCAAGAAATATCTAAAATTATTTATTAATTTTGTTGGGCGAAAATTGGAATATAACCTTTGGCGGAAAACGGAAACCCCCTAAAACCAATATTTTAAATTAGAACTATGTATATAGACTAGCCTTCGTATATTAGGTTTCCGTGCATACATCAATTATCAAACATGTATTATATAATGACTAATGATAAATAAAATAAATAAACAATAGTTGAATTAAAATATTATAGGTAGTTCTTAATTTCTTATGTAGGTGATGTCGTTAAAAATATATAAATTACTTTATGTATTTCATAGATTTAAATTTCAAATAGGTATAGGTAGTTGAATATTAATATTTTTTTTTTTTTTTTTTTGTTCAACTCGTAAC